TTTACATGGGTTGGGTCTCAGTTTCTTCTCTGTAAAATGAAGACACTAGTCCATTTGACCTCCAGGGTCTAAAAACACTTAAAAGGAAAAGAAGCTTATAAAATTGTTACCAATCTCAACTCAGTTTTGTCCATTGCTAACTCATAAACGTTTTTTTAAAATATTTTGCCTGGAACTGATTGTTACCCTCATTTGACAATCTGGCAGATGATCCTCCTGCATCAGATTATGAGAGCTCCAAAGATACCAGGAAACAACTTGTCATCATATTTTACCAAATTATTTATATTTAAGGAGCTTCCAGAACCAAATTATGACCAGATTAAAAAAAAAAAACCTTGAGATTAATATTCACAAAATTGCCTTCTTCCAGACTTATTTTTCCTAGGTGGAATCATGTCTTGGATTTCATTACAAGATATTCAAAATATTCTCCACCTACTTTCCATGGAACTACAGAAAGTTTAGCTTGAATATAGTTCGATACAAGACAGGATACATCCACTAGCTTTTGGTGGTCTAATTATCACTCCCTGTGTTCCTCATAAAATGCGCACACTTATGCTCCCCACCCTGTTTTGGACGGGATTTTCCTACCCAAGTACTCGACTTCAGGGAATACATTTTACACAAATTCAGAGTTAGAGTATCAGTGCTTGGCTGCTCTCTTTTCCCTTTCAGTCAATAGCCAATGTTGAACAAAAAGAGACCAGATAGGGGTTGGGGAAGGGGGACAGGGTGGATAAATTCACCAATTGAAAACATGATTAAGGGGCTCCCTATAATGAGTGATAATCCTTCCGTCAGGAGCCCTGCTGCCTCCTCTGTTTCCTGACTCAAGTTCTCATTTTTGTGTTCTGCAAGACCTCACTGCTGAGAGGTTTATGTTTCAAGCTGGCTGTTTTTCTGAATCAATTGTTGAACACTCTAATTTGCATTAACTCTAGTCTGGTCCTGGGAATCCATCCAGTAAAAAGGGAACAAAGATATTTGCATTTGGGATCACTGATTTCTCCCAATTTAATCCATAGGTGAAAGAAAATCATCTTGTAAAGGCACATTATCTTGAGATGGTCCTTAACTGTTAATGGTCAGGCTCCTCACGGATCACATGTGACAGGAAGCCATGTTTGTGGTTTGTTTCTCAGTATAGCTCCTTAGCGCAGCCATCTTGCAGCAACTCCGTAAGAAACTAATGTTTTCGTTCAGCAAATAGGCATCACCTTCTTCAGCTGTCTCTCTATAATGTCATTACTGGTTTTCTACACAAATTCAATTCTGAATGAATAATGAGAAAGGAATTCCTTTCAGTGACTGTTCTCTCTTGTAAATTCGAGGTTAATTGACTACCCTAGATTTCTCTTCATTGGGCTGATTCTTTCCCTGAATCAAAGCTAGGGGTTAGCGGAAGGTGTCTAACAGCTGATCATGATTCAGGGATGCTCTATTTGAAGACACATGTTGTAGTCACACTTTTTCCTCTTTGCCTGACCAAAGCTTATATCATCAGCTCGGTGGTGGAGAGGATAGACTACCATCTGTGATATTTAGTGAAAGATGATCCCTAGCCATAAGCAGCAGCTAGCCCTCACCACAGCAGCTGGGATCTGTCTCCAAAGAGAGTTATAGAGGAATCATTGCACGCATAACATTGCTTTGCAAGAATCTGATTAGATACAGCGTGGCAACCAAAAATGTGAACATGCACAGTACAACTTTAGAAAGTGGAATTTACTATGCTATTCCCAGTTCTCTATGTGTGTTACATTTTTTTCGGTAGAAAGCCACTGTTTCTCTAACTTTTGATGGAGCAAAATTATTTTTCATCATCTAAATAGCAATAATGTTATGGAAGGAGAAAGATTAAATAGAGGTGTGAAAATGGAAGCCGGAAGTGCGTATCTGCCATTGCTCTTAGACAGAGGGCAGAATGGAACAGCCCTACACAGGCAGTGTGTAACCTTGTGAATGCACAAGGGCAGCTAGGAACCAGAGCCAAACTATACTTCAGTGAGGCAGAGAAAGAAAAGTAGCATGTCTAATGAATTTGATGAATTTCAGAGTAACTAAACTTTTCCCACAACGTTCCTTGAAACAAATCCCAAAAAGTCACACCATTTTAAAAGATCAAGGGAACAAAATCCCATCAAACAAGGAAGGAAACAGCAGGCTTGGGAAGTCTCTGTTGTCTGAGAAAGTAGACCTCACATGGTCAGATTTTCTAATCTGGTGAGAGCTATGGGGAGTGCACCTCCACTCCCACTGCCCCCATGCTGGGGTTCTAACCCAAGGCCTTGCACTTTACACAAGTGTTCCCTCCTGAGCTCCCAGCCCCAGGGAAGCTAGAAATGTAATGCTCTAAACAACTGTGCACATTCAATTTTAACATTAGTCACCAGTCTAAATCCCTCATGCTTTGCAAACTGACAACACTGAAGTACAAAACATTTAAATTCAATGTCAAGTAGCTATCTCTGGGCAAATGCAGGTCTCCTGACACCAATTCTCTGTTCTGCCCATGCCTGTCAGTAACTGGCTTACTCTAAGTATATCAACAGTATAATGACTATGGGAAAGAAAATAAAACTACAGGAGATAAATTCCTCCCATTCTCTTGCACAAGTGATCCTGTTTGCAATTGTGCTGTTGAAGAGAAGCATCCCAGCCTCCCTAACACTCTGCTGTGAGAAGTAGGATGCTTCTGCTGTGGAAGCCGCAGAGCCTCTGAAATACACGGGGCACTTCCCACATTAGCATATGACTCCAGGAGTACAAGCCACCTTCTTCTAGGATTGTGACACTTTCTCAAACTGACAAACGTGTTGACATCAGGCAATAAACACAACTGACCAGTATTTGCTAAGATGTTTTACTCCTCGATGCCTTGAAATAACAAACACTATTTTAAAACATTTAAAAATAACTTAAACTGCAGTATTTGCTTGTTCCTGTTGAGAACGACAAACAAAAATAGCTGCTCACGAAGGCTTGCATAAGATATGCTACATTTTTCTATAAAATCAGAGTCATTCTTCAATGTCAAAGGTTAAAATCAACAACACTGTCAAAAAAAAAAAAGATGAAGTAACCTAAGAGAGATATTTCATTCCAGCAAAGAAAAAAATATATAATGCTCTGTGTAAGAATGTTAGTGGGTGCAGTGACTTTCATCTTACATCAGTGTGGAATGTATTATGTATGCATAATAGATTTGCAATGAAGCTGAGGACCAGTGCTGAACAAATGTACCTTGAAAGAACCTGCAGCCATGATCTCTAAAATAATTTAAATACCCAATATTACAAATGTAAGTACACATCACAGATTTTGTTTTCAAATGCATACATTCCTTTGCAGATAAGATCTGAGACACATAATCCATAGATGTTTAATATATTTTTATAATAAGGTTGATAATCAAAGCACAGCTTGGCATATTCACTAACTGAAGTTTTTTCATCTATTTCCTTTAGAACTGTTATATCAACAACTGAAGATAGCTGGAAGAAACTGCTTTCCAGAGGACTGGCTTAATTCCTATCAAATGTTACAATTCAGGGAAATATTATACTTACCACAAACCATACGACTAAATGTCCTCATATGTTATCAAAAAAATCAGATTAGAACACACACATTGTAAATAGCTGGTCACATGAGCAGACATCAAGCTAGAAGGTCATTTTGTTAGGACAGAGATGCTTAAAAAAGATCAAGGAAGACAGGAAACCGAACCGATAACTAAATACTACCATGATCTCATGCTTCATTTTGGGAAACAGTGCAGAGGCAATAAAGAGAATTTTAGGACTATTTTAGATACAAGTATGCAAGGATGGTGAGCTTGCTGTCTGCAAGGAGCTAACTGCTCTCTTATAAATGTCAGAACTGACTTTAGAAGGATCTGGGCCAATATAACATCATCTCAAGAAAAATAACAACTATTATTATAGAAGATGTTGCAAGCAGTATTTTGAATCATGTCATCCATACCAAATTGTTTCCAAAAACTAAACCAAGTAGGCCCCAATGTTTCATTAAGTTCTAACATTCAAGTAGGCAAATACTGGGCCATGGTGGCTCTTTTATTGTTATGTTTTTTTCATTGTGAGAAACAATTCTGGTTTCCCAAACATGCCAGATTTCCTTAAGGAGTGTGAAAACCCAACCTTGCATTTTGCATATCTCATGTACATATGCTTTCTAGCAGGGATCAGGGTATGTTCACATCTGCAGTCATTACCATGCAATGGTGCTTCAAATACTGTTGGGACTTACTGCTTATCAGAAAACCATATTCGTCCATCAATCAACTTATTCAGATTATTCAAGATTTTAAAAGCAGGAAATACCTAATTTGTGCCATTTGCTTCATGTGTTTTCTTTCATACGTTTTTCCCACATAAAATTCTGGGGCGTTTTAAAATAAGAGTTCAAAAAGTAAAGCATGTTCTTTTCCCCCTTGATCTTCCTACATTTACTGTCGCAATCAAAGGAAAATAAAATTCTGGCTTCACAGAGTGTTTACAACAGAAATATAAGTCTTACACCCCCTCTCTGTACGTAATGACATATGAGTGTCCCATCTTCTCTCTTTTTTTTTTTTCTTCGAGACAGAGTTTCTCTGTGTAGCTTTGCGCCTTTTCCTGGAACTCACTTGGTAGCCCAGGCTGGCCTCGAACTCGCAGAGATCCGCCTGGCTCTGCCTCCGGAGTGCTGGGATTAAAGGCGTGTGCCACCACCGCCCAGCTGAGTGTCCCATCTTCTCATGAAGACCTTACACAATTACACGCATAATGTGTCATGAAACATGATTCCCCAGTGTCTGGACAAATTCAATTGGAGCACATCACTGTACTTTAATAATACGGCAGGATGCAAACATAAATTCTGATACCAATTGGCTCACCCTTCTCAACCAATGAGGGTCCCTTGCCCTTCACCCTGCCCAACTGTCCTTTGACACCGTCTCTGAGCCACTCTTTCTTCTGGACTTTCAGTTAGCAGCTTCAGCTGAGAACACTAAATGCTGGCTGTGTGCGGGCAGTCCGGGACCACTCTCTGAGAACCACACTTCCATTGACTACATATCTTGGCCACCTCCAGGCCAGTTTTCTAAGCAACACATGCTGACAGAGGTAGATCAGAGCTGGAAGGTAAAATGCCTGGCCTTCACTGTGAGGAGTGGTATTCTCAGTCAAATAGGGTAACTTTTCACAGTTATTTATTCATAAGTAGAAATGAGTTTGAAAATGATATTTTCTAAGGCAGCTTCCAGAGTTGGAAATCTGCACTCTCAATCTCTTATGAGCATCCTTTTCTCACCTATTCAATATTGTACAGATTAAGTGGGGTAATAGAAATATTAGAGAGCTGAAAATTCTTTCATTATTGCAACAGCTCAAGTGGACCAAGCAGTGCCTCCCACTTTGTAGGTACCTAGTAAATATTTGTTCAGTGAGTCAAGGGATTCTCTGGAAAGATTAAACATGAAAAGATTCCTTCCTAGGGCTGGCCACACTGGTGCTGAGAAAATGTTCCAGTATTCTGCCTGGCTGCTCAGTGGTGCCAGCTTTAACAGTGGCCCTAAACTTTGCATCCTGCCCAGTAAGCTCTGCAGATTTTGGAGAAGGCCTACGGCTTGTGTTTGTCCCATAGCTCTTAACTTCCTAATTGTGGGATTGTTCGGTATTAACATATTTTCGGTATGGTACAACCTGCTTTTTCTAGGACGATGATAATTGCTGAGATCAACTTCGGCAACTGTAGGACAAAGACGCTCTTTTCAGATGGCTGTCTGGCAAAGAGGAGCAGGGATTAGCCACCTCTGGTTACCCTCCTGGTCAAAGATACATATCAATCAAAAGTCTATAATTACTTAAATTATAATACTGTTATAAGGAAACGTGTCAAATAGCTATACAAAATTTCATTTCAGCTATTAATCTCTTTACTTTGTTTACATTTTTCATTTAAGAATATTATTTCCCGGTCTCCGTCCATGAGGGGGAGGGGAGGGGGTGGCGCGCGCGCCATTTCTAGTCGTTTTCAAAGCGCCTCGCGCTGGTTCTCACGGGCCAGGCCGCCGGCCCCCCGCTCTGCCCTG